ATGTATATATATATGTCTTAATGGTAACTATGCTGTCCTTTGAATAATCCAAAGTAATGTTAAGATGAGTAAATAAGTAAATATAAATGGGATTAATGCTTATAAACATTTACAACAACATCTGAATCATCAGTTGCTAAATGTAAATTCAAGTATTCATGGCTTCTTAAAGTTTATGAAAAGATAATATATTTTGTACTATTAAATGTGTTTTCATAAAATTATACATATAAATTTTTAAGATTATTTTCTTAAATTTAGTAAGAGTTAAAATTCTAATATGCAATCCTATATTGAAATAATATTTAAAAATGTTAAATGTTCCCTGAAGTGGGATGCCCTTGGGCCTGAGGATCTACAGAAAAAAACTCCCCTCTGTGGCTAAAAAAACAGCTGCTTGAATCAATTTGCTTCAGATTTCTCCACGGATGGGTGTCTCCTCTGATTTCCTTTAGTCTTATTGTACCCCAATCCAACAAATGTTATTAGGAAGGTATTGTTATATATAACTAAGTTTACTACAATCCAAAAGTTAAATGGTTTTATAGGTCTAAAGAAATAAGGCGTTCTTAAAATGTTAAAATCCTGTGGTTGAACTTATAAAAAATAGACTAGAAAACAATGGTTTTGTGCTCTGTTAAGATCATTTCTTATATTTTCTTTTATTAGGCTTTTGATTTCCTAGTAAACTTGAGTTTTAAAATTTAAGCTTGTAAAATGTTTTCAATAATCAGATTACTGTTAGGTTATATACCTGGACTAAAGACTTGCATACATCTAAGGATGAAGTGTGCTGTGATTCTGTGATTTGTCTAATGTTAAGAAATTTATAGTTAGGATTATATAAGTTTAATGTCTGCAAAGTAACCAATAAGTCTTCTCTTTTACACAATACATATAGTATCTAGACTTCAAATATAAAAAATAATCTAAATTTTTGGCATCTTTACTCTTTATTTTTGGTACAGTTAAGTCCCGCCACATAAAACTTGATCAACATCTATTGGCTTTGATTATACAAGTATTTTCTTATTGTATAAATGAGATGCACTTGCATAATGGATAGTAAGTACTTGCACAGGTCTAAAGATATCCATAGTATCAGTGTTGTTACAATGTGTAAACCTGTCAAAGAACTCTAAATTTCACCTTAAGAGTAAAAAGTAAGTTAACATGTAAGGATTTCAACGTAGCTGTGATGCTAATTATCACTGACTTCTTTGTGTGGTGAATATATTTATATTCACCAAGTATACAAGCCTTCTAAAATGCAAAACTTAGGAGATTACCCTATCATATTGGTGTCCTTAGGAAAATTGTTGTTTTCAGTGGTAGACTTTTTCAGGTTTAAGTTTATGTGTTCTAAGTGTACTATGACAAATGTGCTAAACACTATGTAGTCCAGGCAGTGTCACTCTAATGGTTAAAAACTGGGCATCAGTCACCTACAAAGTACATCTACAAACAAGTACATTCTACTTAGGCACTTTATTTCTTTTTTGTGGTGGTACCTAGGATTGGAGCCAGGGCCTTTACACTAAGCCACATCTCCAGCCCTTTTTTATTTTGAGACAGGGACTCGCTGAAGTGCTAAGTTGCCCAGGCTGGGACTGAATTTGTGATCCTTCTACCTCAGCCTCTCAGACTGCTAGGGATTACATGTGTGTACCACCACGCCCAGCTAGACATTTTATTTTAAAATCTAGCAAATTGGCTAATGTATGTTAATATTTTATAATTAGATAAAAGTAACCTAGTAAGTTATTTTATACGGAAGTGGGAATTTCAATGTATTTTTAGAGACATAATAGAAAGAACTTAATGGTTCCAGTATAATGTCATCATAATTCTTATCCTAAATGCTATGTTTGCTTATTGTTTTTATTTTCCATTTTTCTTGTAAAACTTTGTAACTGTTATCTGTTAACATTCTGCAGGAAAATGACTTCTAAAAACAACCAACATAGTATGTTAAGATGGTAGCCTATCGGCCACAGGACAGATTTATGATGACTCCTAATAGTAATTCGGACCATGGTTAATGAAAACAATAGCCACTCTCTGGCTATACTTTCTGTTTCAAAGTGCCTTGATATCCAAAAGGATTACTATAATTAGTATTAAGACCTACTGGTGTAACTGACCTTTTGAGTGTTTAACAACCAATTTGGGGATCAAAGCTGAGGAAGTTAATAGGGCTGAAAGGACAGCCAATATTTTGGCCCTTGCCCTCCAAGGTCAGCCAGGACCCAGGATACAATGGAAGCCCTCCAAAAGGATCCTGCAACTCTGGCTAGTCTGCAACCTCTAAGCAGTGACATTGTTGGGTCCTCGAGAAGAGGAGTCAACTAATGTGCATTGGGTGAAAAGGAGGGTCACTAAAGAGGGGACCGTCTCCATGCTTCTAACAGAAGTCAGATGGTTAAGTAAGTCTGATCTATCCTGGCAGATGACAAGGCTAGTACAGAGAAAAACTAAAAGAGCTAAGTGACTACTCACATTGCCCCAAAAGTAGTCCCTGAAGAGCCTTACCTGACCTTGACAAATACACAGATTAATTTAGATTAAGACAGGTCTTACTTGGACTTGGTCTTAAGTACCCAGTAAGAAAGTATAACCAAAAGAGCAATTAATAGTAATACAAACAATGCTAAGCTAGATATAAACAGTGGCTACAAATACTGTACCAGTTGTTACTAAGAGTTCCAGCTACACCTATCACATTTTATCCTACAGCAATGAGCTGTCCTGATTCCCAGTCCTATTAGTTTCTCAAAAATGTGTCCTCCAGCCTCTTTAGTGTATTGTCATTATGTTATTTTAATGTACTTGCAAGTACCCCTCAGGTAAAGATTTGTCTTCTAATACAAGCCTGCCAATAGAGTAAAAATGCCAATATAAATATTCTAGCTACTAAATTTTATTTCCTTTGTGGTATAGACTAACAGACTGTCTGTTATCTACTCCAAACTTAATATGTTTATATTATCTGGAGCCCAGTCACTACAAAATGTCTTCAGTTCTACAAAACAGAGGTGAGATTCAGGCTACAGTAAAAATGTCAATGGCCCAAAGGTCAAAAAAAAGTATATATTTTTATGTAGTATATTCCTAGGCATTGTTACAATTAAAATAAAAATTGGATTTCTTATTGGCAAAACAGAGGACAATCGGCATGGTCTTAAACTCTACCTACTATATTTGCGTTAACGTCTCTGGACAAATAGAGATTAATATTAAAGATAAAAGTTTTATACTGAATGCTGCCTAATTTTGTCTGACTTTTACAACTTTCTGGAGTCACTATTCACTAATATTTTACTGTTAATTTTCGGCCTCTGCTTGTTCAACACAGTTACAAAATAAAGCTTAGGCATCAATAACTTGCTAACGTCCTTGTCCTCTTTTCCAGATTATCAAAACAAATGATTGTTCTTTGAACAGCAGAACCCAATATTCTTGTCCCCTTTAGATCAGTCTGAGTGAGACTTTTGGCCCCTGGCTAGGCAGGGTGAACGTCTCTCTTTAGCCTGATGGAGCCATAAGACAATGAGCTTAAGTTCCTTGCAACCCCTAAAAAAGAAGAATGAAACCCCAACAAGGAAAAGAACGAAGAAAAAAAAAAAAAAAAAAAAAAAAAGACAAGGAGAACCATAATTTTAAAATTGTACTTTTAAGAAGACTGCAACATCACAGTTACTCAGTGTTATCCATATCTGCACTCCCTGGGCTTGTGCATGCTTCTTTTCTTCCAGGCCCATAATGCCCAAAATCCCTTAAAGACATTTAAAGTCCATAAATTAGCTAAAGAAGGTAAAGGGCAGAAACATAACTTTAAGAGATACAATAGACTGCGCCACTGCCTTTCTCCTGTAAAATGAGCCATTATGTCTCTACTTGGGTGTCAGTCATTGCTTTTCTTGTGTAAACTCAGCCCAAATTTTTCAGAGATTCACGAAGTCCATACATTTCCACAACCCAAAAACTATAAATATCTCCAACTCCAGACTGCAGCATGTCTCTCCCTCGAGGTACAGCACACAATTATGTTTTGAGATGGTACTTTAAATTCTGCCCAAATAAACCTCTTTCTGGCACATAAATAAGTATATAGATAGATAAATACATATGTTGTACATGACATGAAAAATATGTAATTCAGTTTAATTCAAGCACTCCCTCTAGTTAGCAGAATTAGTGAGCTTTTGCTATAGGACTATATGATTTATAACTAGGAAATTACATGTTCAGTTTTGTAGTAATGATCAAGAAAAATCACATTATACTTACGGACAAAGTTCAACTTCCAAATACTGCTCAGTTACATCATTCAAGAAAAATGCTTCCACAACTTTTGAAAATAGAAATAAGATATATTGAGAAATTTAATTTTGCTTCAGTGATATAGAATTTTTTAATATAAAATGAACTAACTGTTTGTAATTGTCACGTTATCTCCAGGAGGAAAGGGGGTAAAATAAATAGAAATTTCCTAGAAGAAGAAATATATAAGGCATCATCCATTTTCTCCCATGTCAGATTTCCATAAGCTAAAAACATTTATAAAGCCAAGTGTTCATGAGATCATAGAGAAATCAATATTATCACACAGACAGACTCTGAGCCAGCTATTTTCTTCTAGGAATTCGTCCTAAGGAAACTAATCAGACAACTAGGAAAGGAAGTAAGTATAATTCTATTTATCAAAGTATAATCAATCAAAAATTTGAAATAATATAAATCATTATTCTATCTTATATAATATTATTTTTGATTTTATAGACAAATCTCTTATTATACAGAAAAGCTGATAAATTGTGGAATTCATGTATCCCATTGACACAGAAGACTAGGACATGGCAAAGCTGGTCTGGGAAGTGGGCCTGACTTATTAATTGCAAAATCTGGGAAAACATGCCATGCACAGAACAGCTCCCAAAGCCCTGCACGTAGACTCCTCAGAGAACTTGAGCAGGTTTTCAATAATATGCCTAGACCAGATGTCAATCTGAGGCATAGCATCCTAGCACCGCCTCTCAGGACCCATATGTAGAAGTTCTCACAGGTTTCCTCAAGGTTTGGACAGTATAAAAGGATACAGACACACTTACCAGTATAAGATTAAAAGCTAAATTTTAGTTTGCAGTTGATTGTTGTTTCCACAATAAGTGAAATACCCCGAAACTTCCATAAAGAAGGTTTATAAGATTAAAGAGGCAATTTGAAGATACAGCACTTATAGACAAAAAAGGGAATGCTGAACTCTTCTTAGATTAGGTTACAGAAGTAAAGGAAGGGTCTAGGGAAGCGACTTAAAACCCTGGATTTGTAATTGTCATTTTTCACTGTCCTACTTATATAGTTGAAGTCACATACATAATGAGGAAAAAGTCTGAATGAGCAATTGGTAGGAAATATCAGACCCTGCACATGTCAGTTGCTCAGAAGCACTCACTTCCTAGCAGCAAGATAAAATAATATTCTGTGAGAGGCTATTATAAAAGGATTTATGTTTGTAATAAAATACAGTACGTCTACTTACCTTCGTAATCCCACAGCTCATTGAAAGGCTTTCCTGGTTCTCCAGGTGGAGCTGGAGGATCATTGAAAAATGGAGCACGAACTTCCATCATCACTCCCCCATCACCAGGATTCAGCCTGAGAAACACAGGCTCCTGCTTCACTGGAAAACCGTGCCAAGTGTGTTCAATTCTGAAATCCATCTGAAGACTGGAAAGCAAGTAACATATTAAAATAAAGAACAAAACAGAAAAAATTCCTTAGTTATAAAGGAAAAATTTTTAATGATGTATCACTAACACATACTATCAAAAAGATTGTTAAAAGTATATGCAACTCATATTTCAGGCAAATAAGTATTTTTAATGCAAAGAGTGAGAAATCAAAAGACCAACACCCTAATAAAGAAGTAGGTAAAAGACATGAGCAGTAAGTTCACAAAAGAAAATGCAGAAGTTTGAACTTCACCTATAATGGCAGAAGATCAACTAAATCAACCATAAATTTTCACTCAGACTGGCAAAGATCAGAAAGTTTGATAACACGGTGAGTTACTCAGGAAACAGAACAAAACCATGTACTGCTACTGCAGGATAATTGGTACAGTCTCTGTGAACAATGATCAATATCTATCAAATAAAAATGCACATTCTTTGACTCAATAATTCTAGTTGTAGGAGTTATTACACCTGGACATAATCAAAATGACATAAGAATAGTTTTGTTTAGAATAACAAAATACTGAAAGCAAGTTAAATATGTTTGAGAAGACAGGCAAAGAAATTATGCTATATCATACAATGAAACATGACATGGCCATTTAAATAAATGAGGCAGGTATATATATGTACATATATATGCAAAATACATTGTGAAGAGAAACAAAACAGGGTGCAGAAATTATGCCTGTAATTAATAAAATGCAAGTTTATTTGCATACACACTTACAAAGCACACACTACCTTAGGAAGTATATATAAGAAACCAGTGGAGTGGCATTGGTTGATTGTTTAAAAAATTACCTGCCTGAAATACAGAGGAAGGCTTCTTTGAATTTTTTTCATTTTTAATCTATCTGAATTTTATACTATCACAGATAGGCATGACTATTTAAAAATAAATAATTTAATATATTTTTAAAGTGTATTTAAAGCTGATTTCTCATTTCTGATTCCCTGTACTCCATTTATATCTTTACACACTCACTTAAATAACATGATATCTGAACACTTCCAAAAACTCAAAATGAGTATTATCAGGGTGATCACCATCCTGTTACATGATTTGAGTACTGGCTGTTGAGACCTTCTTTTTTTTTTTTTTTTTTCCCTGTACCGGGAATCGAACTCACAACCTTGCACTTGCCAGGCAGGCATTGTGCCGCTGAGCTAAATTCCCAGCCCCCGAGACCTTCTTAAAATAATGTTTGTCATTGATCTGTACTTTTTCTTTACTTTTCACTGTATTCTTCAAATTACTGTTTCATCAAAGAAAGTAAAAAAAGATAACTTTTCAATTATCTTCATTGTTCTCTCGACTATGGAGAGACCTTCAAAGAAAATAAAAGGAGACAAAACCCCGGAACATGAAGAGGCTAGGAGAAGAAAATGTTTAAAAGAAGTAAGTCACAACTATTTGCATGGAAAATATAACTATTTGCATGGAAAATATAACTATTTGCAAGGAAAATTTCCAAATTGTTCTATTCACAACAAGCCCTTTGGTTTTTCTACAGTAATTATTTCTTTTCTGTTTGCACCCGCCCCCTGCCCCGTTCACTTCTGAGAAACGGAAGAACGAAGAACTTAGCCTGAAAGTGGAAGTAACCTATGTCAGCGAGAAGCAGAAGACAAGTATATTTTTCAGGGAAAACCTTCACCACAAGACCGGGCGACGGTGGAAGAAATGACAGAGTGAAGCAGGCATAACCAGGGTACACAGAACTGACCCGGAAGGTCTCAGTCCTACCCTGCCTGGCTGGGTCTTTGCCGCTGGGGTCCCCGGAGCCGATTTGGCCTTAGGCTCCACCCAGCTGCCGCACCTCCTGGGGGAGGGACCAAGAGGACTGATTCTTCGGAGAGCACCGATTTTTCTAGAAAAGAAAAAAGTTAAAGGGCCACCAATGACCACTGAAGACTTGTAGTCATCCCACTTAACTCTGAGCTTCTTTCAGGAAGTGTAATTTGGTTGCACAAGAATTTAAAATTCACCTGTCAGTCATTAAGGCAACAATAGAACATACACAGCAATAATTAATTTACTGCCGCTAAAGGCTAACTGGCCATATAAGCAAAACTATAAATTATATTAGGCTAAGTATGAATTATATTATACTCCGGGGAGGCATGTACATAGCGGTTAACATTTGAGACTTTTGGAACCATACTTCCTGGGTTCAAATCCCAACTCAGGCACTTTTTTACCATATGATCAGCTTTGAACTTTGCTTAAACTTCCCCACTTTGTATTCTTCATAGTACTGTGCATATAGTACGAGGTGCTAGATGGCAACTGAGTGGATAAAGTAATACTAGTGAAATCTGCCACTAGTTTTCAACCTACATAGTTTCCGACGGTCTTTCTTTATTACAGAAAAGATTCTAATATAAAAACATGAAACAGTCCTTTGAAAATAATTACACAAATACTAAGTACTTTTCTTTCCCATTTCTGATTCCCATTTACACCCATGCCTAGTCACTGAATTTTTTAACGCCTTATCAGACATTTCTTGAACTTTTTTGTGTTCAGGTTTTATTTTTATTTTTTATAATGGAGACTGGCACAAATTTCAGAACAGCATGTTAAGGACTGCAAGAAGAAACCTGAACTGAGTCCTAAGGTGACACCTACCTTCAGGAAAAGTTGATATAAGCCAAATATTTCAAATGCAGCAAAAAAATTCCCATTTCAGTAGTAAATTTAAAACCACTCATTTATATCTGAAGGCACTGTTTACTTTCATCTACACCAACATATCTTATCAACTTTGAGGGTAAATGTAGAGTTAAATTATAACTACTTGGTGAATGCCAACTTAAATCAAAATATGACAATACATAATGTTCAGATGTGGAAGTTACAAGCAAGTCTTCAGGGAGATGGTGAAAAGTTCATGAAGAAAGACTCCGACACTGAATTTCAAAACAGTTTCAGCTTACACATTTGATTTCCCCTTCCAGTAAGTTTTTCTATTAAATTCATGGCCACTAAAATTCAAAACAATTTCAATGACAACCAACTCAAAGCTAAATTAAACCTTTTCATGATTACTACCTACATATGCATATTTCTCAGCTGGCCTTTAAAGGCAAGTACCTTCTTAATCAAGTATAGTATAGAGTAAGGCCCATCATAAGCCCTCGATTTTTAAAACTTTCTCAATACATCTCGCTAGCATTCCTTTATATGACATCAGGGGTAAAGGCTAAAAAATAAAAACGTCTGAAACTGTTAAACAGAAAGCCAAATCAAGCTGTATCTGTGCCATGTTTCAGTGAAACTTTAATTTCAATTCATAAAAGCACAATCTATTAAAAAGCACTAACTCTAGTGGTTAACTTCAAGTTAACATTTCCAGTGTTCGTGTTGTCATTCCTCCAGTGTTATATGTTTTTGAAAATCTATACGATTTAAACCCAGACAAAATTAATGCTTAAACCTGGGAATTATGATCTATCCACAAATTTACATTTTACTTTTTTCTTGCAAAAATGTAACTTTTCCTTCTATTTAAAGAAACAAACATCTCTGAAGAAGTAACTGCTAAATTTGCAAGATCTTTTAAGTACTTCTATGCTTTATTATCACAGTTAATTTTCAACAGTTGTCTCTTTTCTCTCAAGACCTGCAAGGGGCAGGACAGTACTTATCTTCTGAACATTACCAGGTTCATGCCCACGAACACTGCAGAGGGACAGCTTTGACCGGGGATTCTGAGGAAGCCGCAGAACCTGCATCCCTCAGCCAAAGAAACCTGCATCAGTTACCCACTCGCATGGCCAGCTGGCTCTTCCAGTCCAGAAATACTAAGTACATTAGTAAAAATACTAAGGGATTTTTACCTAATGCTCTACTCATGTTACATTTGAGGGTTTAAAAGAAAAAGAAAAAACACGCTGGGCCGCACCACTTGGATGTAGATGCTGACCAGCCCGCTCGCCCGCCGCGCCAAACCCGTGGCTCAGCCCGCTGTCAACCAGATTCTCACGGATCCACCCATCACTTGACAGAGAGCCAATAGCGTGCTAGGCCCGCAAGAAGCGCGATGACGTAGTGCTGACGCTCGCGTGATGACGGAGGCGGCGTCACCGTCTCCAAGGAGCGGTCCGGGGCACAGGTTTCAAAGTCGCAGGGCGGGCCGAGTGGACTTCCGCTGATGGCCCCGGGCTTCCCCGCGGTCCTGTCGTCGCCCTCTCAGCTCCCCTGCGGATTTCGCCACCGGATTGCCCTCCTTCGGGCTCCCTCTGCGCTCACCTAGGTGGCCCGACAAGACCCCGGTGAACCACGGGACACCTCCGCCCACCCTCGTCCCCTTCCCCCCCGGGTGGCATTCGGTTGAACGCCGGACGGAATTCGCTTGGCGCGTCCCGGCGAGCTCTGAAATCTGAAGTCTGCTCCTCGGGTCAGGTACTCGCCCGGGAGAGGGAAGCGGGCAGGACTGCGACGCTGCGTGAGCGGGATGCTGATCACGCCGCGGCTGAACCCCTGCTTGACAACCTCGGAGTGTTGCTTAGTTTTTTTTGTTTTCGCGCACAGCGAGCTCTGGTTTTTAGAGGAAAGAAAAAGGTGGTGAAAGCTCCAAACAAAAATTATATCGCTATGGCCACAGAAATCGACTTTCTGAGAGACCAAAGTAAGCACCGTATTCCATTATTGAGAATTCGAACATGTTTGTTGTCGTCATCGTTAACCAGCGAATGTGTTTTGAATACCTTTGGATCCCAGTCTGGAAATCTGTAAAAACTTAAAAGAAGTTAGCTGCGTAAAAATCTTGGTGATGGGCATGAAGATATGCATGTACTAAAGCAGAAACGTTTGGTAAATGCTTGTTGGTTTTGTAAGCTTTCATAGGACTCTACTAGACACTGAACATGCTTGTTATGCTCAGCTCGTACTCTGAAGAAATTAGAGGGCTAATGGCCAGGAAGAGTTTCCAAGTCTGCAGTTAAGAACCCAGAGGCACAGCTCTGGCCATTTGTTTAAAAGATGTTTACTGAGCTGCTCCCGTTTCTGTTATGTGTCAGGCACTGTATAAGCCTAGCTGCTGCAGAGATGAGGTCTGACCCTCCAAGAATTTGGGGAAGGAAATATGTAAATACGCTGAAGTGGCGCCTACTGCTAACCCTTTGGCATCAGTTTCCGCATAGAGGCGTTGGAATTATTACACATTAAAACATGTAAGGATTTAGAATAGTGTGTGACATGTGCTAAACAAATATGGACTATTACAGGTTTACCATTAAACTGTGGTCAAGGAAAGCGCCCTTTGGGCTGCAAGTTGAAGTCTGTGTGAGTTTACTATATAAAGAACCACATGGATATCCCAAGTAGAACAGTATATATTTACAACATTAACGGGATTAGGAATATGCTCTGTCTAAAGACTTGTAGCCAGATTGGCTGGAATGGAATATGGAGGCTTACATAGGGAAACGGCAAGAGGTTATGGAGGGGTTGAATGGGGTTAGATGGTGAAAGACCTTGTCTTTGTGCTAAGGAGTTTGGATTCTCGCAGAGATTGTAGGAAATGCCGTAAAGAATTCTCGTGGCAGTATCATGATCAAATTGTGGTTTGGAAAGCCCAGATCTGACTATTAGGAGGAGCATGCATTGTTGCACAGTGCAGTGAGGTAACTACTGTCATCATCCGGGAAAGAAGTGAACTAAGGTGAATGCAGAGAGATTGCAGGTCGGGAGATTTGAAAGAAAGAGGGAGGTTTTGACTTGAGTGATGGGGAGGGAGGTGACATGGTCTGTTTTGGAAGCTTTATAGACCAGTGGTTAGGAACTCAGCCTCTAGATTAGTCTGTGTGGATGTATAGCCTCTGTCTACCTTGTTCGAATTCTTTGCCTTGGACAAGTGTCTTATCTTCTCTGTGCCTCAGTGTTCTCATTTATGAAGGGAATATAAGGACCCTGTTGGGGTTGTTAGATTTAAATGAAATGCAAAAGGCCCTTAGCATGATGTCTGGGATGTACTGGGTGCACGGTGGTGTGTGTGTGTGTGTGTGTGTGTGTGTGTGAGAGAGAGAGAGAGAGAGAGAGAGAGAGAGAGAGAGAGAGATCTAAAATACTTGATGACACTGTAACATTCGCATTATTTCTTAGTTTGGAGTGAGAATAACTTTGCCCCTAGGGTCCACCATCTAATGGTGTGAGACAGGGTTTGGATGGGGAGGAGTTTGGCTAGGGTGAGGTGGATACCTGATTTTTAGAAAGAATGAATTTTAGAAGAAAGAGCTGTGTAACTGAGGTCTAACTACTAGAGAAAACCAAGTAAGACAGTTGAAGCATGGTAACTTATTTCTTGAAAAATGAGTGGTAGTTCACCAGAAGACAAGTGGAGTAGAAGTAGAGAATGTCAGGCAGAAGGAGCAGAAGCAGCAGAGCTTCAAAGGCGTGAGATAACTGTGTTTTTCAGGAAATTGGTGCATGGAATGGTAGTTTGCCTTAAGTGGTAAGGAGTGTTGGGTATCTGTGACCCCCTTCTTTGCTCCTTTAACTGGGCCTTATATGCAGCTCAAGTGGTGGGTTGAAACACCAGCTCAGATTTAGATAGATGGCATACATCCTCCTGCCTGCCTCTGCCCTTCTCTGCATTGACTTCCCTTGATCTTGATCACCTCCTTTTAATCCTTCCATTTGCATTTGGTAGCCTCGGTCAAAACAATGTATTTGTTTCAGTATTTTTCAACTGGCAGCTCCACATGATTTTACCTCTGATAATTACTGTTTCAGCACCTCTACACTCAACCAGGCTTCTGGTAAAATAAACTTCTGGCATATTTGCAGTGTATTTTTTATTTCCACTTCCATCTGGGAAAGAAGATCTGATAGGGAGATCTCCTTAGGGATCTGATCAGAGAGAACCTGGTATATAAATTTAGGAAGAAAGTATTCATTCTTGTAGGTAAGGGGCAGTGATGTACTTATTTTTTCTTTTCACACTCTCAGGTGTCTTTTATAGAGCAGTTTCAAATTTTGTTTTTTTATGAGTTGCATTTTGATAAATATGTGTGTTTAGTGTCATATCTAGGAAGTGATTGGCTAATGCACAGCTGTGAGATTTCTTCTGTTCTAGAAGTTTTGTCTAGGTTTTACATTTACATGTGCTGTTCACACAGTACAATTTTGTATAAGGTGGGAGGTAAGGGTCTAAGCTCACTTACTGCATATAGATACCAACTGAAATATTATCCTTTCTCAATTGGATTACTTTTATACCTTGGCTAAAAGTCACTTGTCCATGTGTGTGTGAATTTCTGAACTCTATTCTGTTCTGTTAACCTATTCATATATGTAGACACCAGTGTACTCCTACTATCTTAAGTGTTGCAGCTTTATAGTAAATATTAAAAGAATAACCTTTTAAGTTTGTTCTTTTTCACAATTGTTTGGCTAACCTGAGTACTTTGTGGATGCATATAAATTGTAGAATCACCTTGTCAGTTTCTTTAAAAAAAGATGCTAGGATTTGGACAGACATTATATTGAATCTGTGGGTCAATCTGTGTGGCATTCATATTTTAATGATATTAAGCCCTCTGATCTATGGAATACATACTTCTCCATTAATATATCTCTTCTTTAATTTATCTCAGCAGTAACATTTTGTAGTTTTTAGCATATAGATTTTACATATCTTTTGTCAGATTTATGTATTGAAATATATGATGGTATTATACCTGGTGTAATTCTTTTACTTCCAGTGTCTGACTTTTCATTGCTAATATGTAGAAATACATTCCCTGCCTGTTGTAACCTGCAACTTTGTTAAGCTCATTAGTTACAATAGTTTTTTGTAGTCTGTTAGGTTTTTGACATAGATGATCTTGTCATCTGAAAAAAAATACCATTTGAGTTCTTTCTAATTTGGATGCTTTTCATTTCCTCTTCTTGCTTTAGTAAATAAGCTAGAATTTCCAGCACAGTGTTGAACAGAAATAATGGGAGGAATAGACATCCTATCTTGTTTCTGTTCCTGGGTGGGAGGGAACATTTGTCTTTTGCAATTAAATGTGATACTAGAATTAAATATGTATATATTTTTCATATATATTCTGTCAGGTCAAGTTTGTTCATTTCTGTTCCTAGTTTGCTGAATGTTTCTATGAGAGTGGATATTGGATTTTTAGATCCAGTACTTTTCCAACATCTGTTGAAATGTCAGATTTTTTGTAGGTTGTTAATAGAGTGAATTACACTCAAATTTTTAAATTTTAATTCCTCCACTTTCTGGGATAAACTACACTTCGTCATGATATGCAATTATTTTCCTATATTTTTGAATTTGGTTTTTAAAATGTTTTCTTAAAATTTAAATCACTTTTTAATTCTAAAGGCTTTGTCTGATTTGGTATCAGGCAATGTCAACCTCTTGGAATTCCTTAGAAAACATTTTGTCTTCCTTAATTTTTTGCAAGAGTCTGTATAGAGTTCTTATTATTTCTTCCTTAAATGTTTGGTAGAATGCACCAATGAAGCCAAGTGGACCAGGAGTTTTCTTTGTGAAAAGATTTTAAACTAGCAATCCAGATTCTTTAATAGATAAAGAGTTATTTACTACTTTATTATATACTGGAGGGGTAATCTTTGCAGACCTGTATGCAACTTTCTCTCCTATACAGAGTAAGTATCCCTATTCCAAAAACTTGAAATTCACATTGTTGGAAATGCAAAACTTTTTGAGTGCTGACATGGTACTTTAAAAGTTGCAGTTTGTAGCATATCCAGTTTTCAGATTAGGATGCTCAACAGGTGTATTCAAATACATCTTTCAAAATCCAGAAAACAGGGCTGGGGATTTAGCTCAGCGGCAAAAAGCGCCTGCCTGGCAAGTGCAAGGTTGTGAGTTTGGTTCCCGGTACCGGAGAAAAAACAAAAAAACAAACAAACAAAAAAAAAAACAAAATCCAGAAAACGCTGAAATCTGAAGCCCTTCTAGTCTTAAGCATTTTGGGTAAGGGCTATTCAGCCTATACTTTTCCTGCCAGCTCTAGTTCGTTTGATGTCCATAGTTTACTTGATCTCCACCATGTTTAAGCTCCATCTCAAAGAGTCTGATGGTCTCAGCCAGCATTTCCTTTCCCTGTACCATGGTCTGGAATATCCATCAAGTCTTTCAGCTGGGGCAGTCATGGAGCTCACATCTCTAATCATCATTATCTGATATCTGATGTCTTGCATACTATTCATTCACTGGTTTGTTTTTTGTTTGCATCATACAATAAAATAGTCTTTGTTATTTCTTCTTGAGCATAAGCAAAAGTTGCATTCAATTACCCTACTTTTGAAATCTTACTTAACTATTCTTTGACCTCACCAAGACTTTTGTTATGGCTTAGATCTAAAATGTCCCCCAGAAGTCTCATGTGCTCAGATGTGGGGCATTTGAAAGGTGACTGGATCATGGGGGAATTGTACTCTTGTGTGGATTCATCCATTGATGAGTTCCTGGCTGAGTTTGTGAAGAGAGTGGGGCTGGTTGGCGGAGGGTCAGTGGGCACATGACCTGAAAGGATGTATTGTTGTCCCTGACTCTACTCTTCCCTGTCTCTCTCACTCTGCTTTCTGGCTGCCATGGGTTGACCAGCTGTTCTCCACCATGCTCCTCTGCCATGCCATTTCTGCCTTGTAGCCAGACAACCATGAACTGAATCCTTTAAAATGTGAGTCAGTATAAACTTTTCCTCCTTTAGTTTGTCAGGTCCCATTGATAGGGCACTGACTAATACGACCTTTATTCTTAACTCCTTCTGGTTTGTTTTTACTACTTTTTTTTTTTACACAAACTATAACTGTTACCTATTAGTCCATTTGTTGTCTTATAAGTCATCTTAATATTCTCAGGCCCCATTTTCCTACTGTGTGTGCCCAGTGACACCTCATCCCAAGATCAGTTGGTTCATTTGTTTTTATGTTTTTCTTCCTCTGGATAAGTATTATCACAAATTTGTGGTTAGCTAATAACTAATAGGGGGCTGAGCTGGAATTTAACACCAGGAAGTCTAGTTTTGTCATCTATGTTCTTAATTACTACTGAACATCCTTTCAAGAAAAGAATACAGTATTATAGGACTGTTTTATTTGTGCATATTAGAAATAAAGTCTGAAGTTGAATTGATCCAGCAGTGAATTTGTGCACACATGCGGGCGTGAGTGTGTTTGTGTCTGTGTCTGTCTGTGTATGTGTGTGTGTTGGCTGTTTACTTTGCATTTCTATGTTTTAGAATCTTTTCAATTTCCACAGTATTGATTTGGATTATATTAAATCTGTAAATCAATATTGGGAAAATGCATAACTTTATGATACTAGCTTCTCTCAACCATGCATATCTTTTTCCCATTTATTTAGGGATTTTGTTTCTGTCCTGAAAGTTTCATGATTTTTTGTGCAGGAGTGTTATCCTTCTTAGATTTATTCCTAGCTATTACTATTTTTTATATCACTGTAAATGATCTCATTTATTATTTTCTAACTTTATATTGTCAGTGTATAGATGTATAAATAATTTTTGTACATTGACTTTGTAAGCAACAATCTTCCTAAATTTAATTAATGGTTTTAAGAATTCATCTCTCTTTTTTTGATTAACCACAGCATACTCATAACTATGAATAATGACAGTTTTTTTTTCTTTTTGACCTTTCTACTTTAATTTCTTTTACTTACTGTATTATATCTTAGACCGAACTTAGACTTCCAGTAGAATGTTAAGTGAATTCATGAGAATTTATCTTTCGTTTATTCTCAGTTTCTAAGGGAATGTTTTCAACATTTACCCTTAAATATGATGTTTGTTAAGTATTTTTTTCTAGGCATCTAGTAGTATATTAAGGAAGGTTCCTTTTAGTCGTATGTTGCTGACTTTATCATGAATATATCTTGCATTTCACACAAATGCTTTTTAAAAAGTAATTTTTGAGATTACTATATTCTTGTTCTTTTTGTGGGTTTCTTTTCTATTTATTTTCTGGGGTTATCTTTATTGCCTCTTTCATTGGACTTGCTTTGGGTTTAATTTGCTCTTCCTTTTCTACTTTTTGGGAGGGATTTGTTGCTTCAGACTTCTTTTCTAGGACAGGGTGAGCATCTCTAATACAAAAATCCAAAATCCAAAATGTTCCAAATTCCAAAGTGTTTTGATGCTGACATGATGCTGGATTCAGAGGATACTAGAGAATTCTCAATTTTGGATTTTCAGACTAGGGATACTCAGCAGGTAAAGTGTACACAAATGTTCTAAAATCTCAAAAAGTCCCAAATCTGAAATACTTCTGGTCCCAAACATTTGGGATCTGTGTATGCAATTAAAACTGTAGGTTTCTCTATCAGCCGGTTTTGAAGTACATTCCATTTTTGTTATTGTGTAATTCAGAATACTCTTACATTTATTTTGTAATTCCTCCTAAGACTCATGGGTTTTTTAAAAGTGGCTTCTTTAGATTCCATATTCACGGAAGATTTTCCTTTTATGTTGGAGGGTCTTGATTCTAGACTAATTGTGCTATTGTCAGGTAACATGTTCTTTCTGTCTTATGGGCTTTGGAAGTTGCTGAAACTTGCTCTCTGGCCAGCAAAGAATCCATTGTAAATGTTCCATGTGATCTTGAAGAGAGTATGTAACTGTACATTTGTTGGGTGCTATGTCCCATGTGTGTTTCTTTTCTTGATGTGATTAAATATATGGCCTTACATTTACTGAAAGCTCCTGGTTTTATTCTGCACCTTCTTTTCCATTGTCTCATGTCACTCCTGTTTAATTTGGGGTTTTGGTCCTGCAGTTACTCTTCAGTGCAGAGGGTTGTCCTGGAAGAATTTCAGCTGATTTTAAGAATTCTAAAGAATATGACTGTAGCTTGTCTTTCCAAGTCTTTTCAATTCTAGTGTCAGGAATCAGAAAAAAAAATGTTTTGTTTTTGTTTTTTAAAATTTACTTCTGCTAACATGAAGAGCAAGCCAGGAGACTGAGAATTCAAATTCATGAACTCAGAAAAATTTGTTCTTTGCAGCTATTTTTTCCCATGGGAAATAGTTGGCTTCGGTGTATGAAAGGGACTGATTTTAAATTCTAAAGTGATGTGTTGAAATTGATGATCTATCTTATTTAGAGAACCAGTAGAGACTAGGTATTTTTTCATTTTTCAAATAATTGCTACTATTTTCTAGTTTTTAAAAATTAAGCATTACCTAATGAACTTAAATTGATTTTTTCCCATTGTTTCAGATCAAAGACTAAACGAAGTTATTAGGCAATACCAAATGGAAAATTTTTCCAAATATTCATCTATAGAGGTATGTAAATTGATTAAAGCCTAACAACTAGATTTAGATATAGAAATAAGTACAGTATGTGTACATCACTGTGAAATTCTCATGTGAAGTTGCCCATAATACTTTAATTTTTGCTTACAACAGTGATTGTTATACAAGGGAAACTTGTTTTTGCTTAATGAAAGTAAATTCTTAGTCCATAGAAACTGCTTTTTTACCCACAGAGTTGGAATTGATATATATGATATTGAAATGTCTGAGCCCTAATATAAGAATACTTTCTCAAGTTTTGAAAAATCCTAAAATTGTTTCTCAGGATACATCTAGTTGCATGTTGTTACTCTCAATTCTTATAAATAATGACAGAAATATAAAGTAATTCAAATAGTAAATAATGTATGGCATTATTTTAATACTTCAGTATTGGATTCAGAAAATTTTAACCAGCAAGATATACTTATTGATGGGCCCTGCATTATCAAATATTAAAAAAAAAGTAATGGCTCCTAGAATATTAATGACTCTTCACTGAAGAAATGAGTGGTTTCCTTTTGCATAATTGAATCTTGTAATTAGAAATTCTTACAGTACAAAAATGAGGGTCTTGTTTTTCAAGGGTTAAAAAGGACTAGTTTATTGTTGGCTTGAATATGGTTGTTAAGATAATGTCTTTAATGTACAGTTAACATTAGACTATTGCTTTGTGTCTTGATTTCCAAACATGACTTAGAGTGCAGAGGGTCTTGTAGCTACCCTGCACTATTCACTTTGATTACCACTGTGATTATTTTCCTTATATTATTTTTAATACAGTCTAATAATTGTAATCATAGTTGAACAACCTTGTAAGTTTTGCTCATTTTGTTGTGCTTTTTGCTTCTACTAAATAGGTCTGAAAGAAAGATTCAAATAAAATACAGATTTTATTTTAAGCCCCAGAGTATCTCTGGGGACGGGATTGTAGTGTATCTGTTGGCAGCCATAGCTGACTTGCTTGTGAAAGATAGTTTTACCAGTAACACAGCAATAACTCTAAGACAGCCCTTCCAATGGAATGGATAAATGTAAAACACAATGTGAAGGACATAGGAATGGTTCTGGAGAGAAAAGTTATTCACTTATTCAAAAAATGTTAATTTGTTTACTTTAATGAATTTTGAGTACATGTGCTAGAAAAACTACTGTGCTAGAAAAACTCTGAGGGCAGAGCTATTAAACAAAGGAAGAAATATGAAAAATTAGGTACTTACAATTACAAAATCCTGGAGAAACCAGTCTTGTGATATGGTTATTGGAGATGGGTGATGACAGAGACTGGTTTTTGGAAGAAAGGTTAGAGACCTTTGAAGCTGGGACAGAAAGTGAAATGAGCCAAGAATGGACCAAGATGCTTTAGGCGGGAAAGAATTTGGCATGTCTTATGCAATGAGTAGGAGTTGGTTCCAACTGTGAACAAATAATTATTATATGAAAATCACATTGAAAATTAATATAAGACTCAGTAGATAAAATATAACAATGTAGCTGTACCCCTTGAGTTGAATCAGATTGCTAGCTTTCTAGACCATTTCTGTTCAGAAGGAATTTCTCTGATGATAGCAGTGTATAATTCTGCACTGTCCAGTATGATAATCACTAGTCACATGAAGTTTTTGAGCATTTGAAATTAGGCTGATACAACTGAGGAGATGAATTTTTCATTTTCACTTTAAAAGACTGAATTAGATTTAAGTAGCCATATATGCTTGTTGCTATTGGTTGGTATAATTCTAAACTGTAAACCTGATAAATAATACAGGTAAAACCTTGGAGAACTGATTTTACATCATCCCATGATGTTCAGATATTGTTGATTTAATACTTTTTGCAGAGTCCACTTGAAAGTTTAGAAATTTGTTATGCTGTATATCAACTTGTACTGATAAATAATGAAAATCAGTCTCCTCAGGATGTAAGTGAAAAGCTTAAGGGATTTCCTAAAACCTACTTGCAAAACCATATGCACACAATGCTAATCTTTATTTTCTTCCAAAAGCTGGAGATGAGAAGATACTATTTGCATATTTGATAGACAGTATTGACTAGAACAAGGAGCAAAAAATAAAAATTCACAATTTTAATTACAGTACTTAGTGTATAATTTTTAGTGGTACAGAGTATCCAGGGAGTTTACTAACTACAACCCATTATTTTTACCTTTGTGTGCATGTGTGTGTTACATCATCTTAGTGAATCATTTTAACATCCAAGATAAATAGGTATTAATAGTACAGGACCAAATATTTTTACAATTCTATAAATCTATAAATCTTTTAAGAATATATAAATTCTATAAATGGGTCTTCATTTTGCATCATTTGTCAATATTTAGAGAATATAAAAAGGATATTTATAAGTACTTTCATAGCTATTTCAGTCTCATTCTTCCAACTTGATTTTTTCAACTGCATCTTGAGTTATTAAGCAATGGAGCCTTTTTTTTTTTTAAGTTTCACTAGCAAATGGGAAGGCATTACCAAGTCTGCATTTTACTTTTCTGAAGATCTGGTTATCTGTTGTTTGACTTACTATGTTTATTCCCAGAACTTAGAAATTTAATGATTACTTTGGATTGTTGAGTTGTTCTGTTTTAGGTTTGTATTGAGTAAATAGTTTTTGAGCATTGTTTCTGGGGATTGTTATTGGTATTTACTGAGGACTACCTTTATGCAAGGAACTATGCCAGATGATTTAGTGATATGAAGATAATTAAGACTAATCATTGGAACATAAAAATTATTAGAGATATGGGATAAGACAAATATTAGACAATCAAGTGAAAGGCATAGTTTGTACCTTAAAAACATTAAAAACCAAATATGTGTATTAAGGGTTATAAGAGAAAAAAGTTAGAACAATTAGGAAAAGTTTCTTAAGGATATAGCATATCTGGTGGACCCTAAATATTAAGTAGGATTTCAAAAAAACTTGACTAGAAGACAAAAGTGGAAGTGGTGGGACATATTTCAGATGCACCAACAAGATGAGAAGCCAAAGAAATAAGAAAATGAGGGCTGTAGTCAGGGATAAAAGTTAGTCCATCTAAACAGAAAGTCAACAAAGAATTAATGAACAAGAACTATACTTTGGACCAAATGGCTTAACATGTGTACATGGGACATACCAACAGCTACCATACGCTGTTCTCAAGCACTCTTGAAACATTCTTCATAATAGATTTCAGCCTATCTCAGGCTCTTTCCAAACAATTGAAGAGCATGGAACACTTTTAGTCTAACTTCTTTTCTTCCTTTCTTCCTTTTTTTTCTGGTGTGTGGGGGACTAGGGATTGAATCCAGGACCTTCACACTGAATTTCTTTCCCAGCACACTGCCTTCCCTCATTTTTGAAGACAGGATCGAACAGTGTTGCCCAGGCTAAGCTGTAATTTATGATCCTCCTTCCCTAACCTCTCCTTTCAGAGTTCTGGAATTATACACATGTGCCACCACACCTGGCCAACAAATATCTGAAACCCAGTACTACTGTCTGATGCCAAATATCTTTTAAAGACAGTGTAAGACAGAATTTCAGGCCAATTTCTAATGAGTATAGACAAAAATATTAATGAAAATAGTTAAACAGTACATTAAAGGGTTCATACACCATCATCAAATGGTTTTTATCCCTAAAATGCAAGGATAGTTCTGTATAAGCAAATTGATAATTGGATACAGTATATTAACAGAATGAAAGATAAAGATCATCATTTTAACAGACACCAGAAAAAGCATCTGACAAACATCAGCATTGTTTCATGATAGACTCTCCAACAAATCAGTTTCAGAAAGAATGTATCTCAACATCATAAAGGCCATAGATGACAGTCTCTCAGCCAACATCACATTCAACAGTGAAAAACTGAAACAAAGCAAGAATCCCCACAATTGCAACTTCTACTAATCATATCTAGTGGAAGTAATTTGGCAAGAAAAAGAAACAAATGGTATCCATATTAGCAATAAAGAAATAAACTTTGCCAAACCATGATCTTATATATAGAAAAATCAAAACTATAAGAACAAATTAATAATTTTGGTAAAGCTGCAGGATACAAAATCAACATTAAATCGGTAGCATTTTTATTCACTAACAATGAACCATCTGAAAAAGAAGCAAAATGACTTTATAATAGCATAAAAAAGAATAAGATACTTGATGAAAATGTATTGACGGGAAAATTGTAAGACATTAAAACTATAAGGCAACAATGAAAGAACTTTATAATACAAATGAAAAACATTCTATGCTCATAGATTAGGACACTTAATATTGTTAAAAGGTCTATACTACTTAAAATAATCTACAGATTCAGTGCAATCTCTACAATATATGAAAATTCCAATGGCATTTTCACAGAAGTAGAAAAAATAACCCTAAAAATGTCCTGAATAGCTAGCATAATCCTGAAGAAGAGAAGACCTGGAGGCATCACACTTTGTAATTTCAAGTTATATTCAAAGCTTTATTAAGCAAAACAGTATGATACTGGCATTATAATACATACTTAGATCAGTGGAACAAATAGCACAGAAATTAATTCACACATGTTTAGTCAAGTAGCTATCAAGAAAGATGCCAAGAATATATAATAAGCAAAGGATAATCTTGAGTAAATGATGTTGAGAAATCTGGACATCCACGTGCAGAATGAAAGTGGATTCATCATACACCATAAAGAAAAAATAATTCAAAATTAATTAAATACTTAAATGCCAGGCATGAAACCATAAGTTTCCTGAAAACACTAAGAAAGCTCCTTGATTTTGTTTTGATAAATAGTTTTTGGATATGACAGTAATAAGTAGGTTGGAATACAAAAAAGTTTCTGTAAAGCAAAAGAAACAGCAAAGTGAAAAGACAATCTATATAATGGTAGAAAACCATATGAAGTGTGATTGAAAAATTAATGAATTTAACTTTTTAAAAAATGTACTACAGTAAAAGATAAATTACCATTAGTCACTCTCAAAATACTGTTCCTCACTTTGAACACACTTATCCCATCACTCTTGCCACTTTCCGAAGCAGCTTTGCATACCCGCTTTCATGAGTGCCCTGTTGCACTGTGTCTCCCTTGCTGTTCTGAATCGATTCAGAATGTTTACCTGTCAGGTCATTTTAACTTTGAGGAAAAGTCAGAAATCACATGGTGCCAGATCTAGTGATTAAGGTGGATTGGGACACACTATAGTAGCTTTTTTTCCCCCTAACAGAAATTGCTGTGCCAATATGTGTAACACAGAGCATTGTCATTGTGAAGGGTGAAACCATTCCCCCATTTCTCAGGCCATTTTTATACATATTGTTTCTTAAATAATATACCTTTGTAATATTCATAGTTCACCATAGTATTTCTGGGTACAAATTTAATTTGTGCAGTTCCATCAAGGTCAGAAAACACAAGCAGTGTACCCTGATGTTTGACCTTCTTTATATTTTGCATAAGAAGAGCTTGGTGATTTCCCCTGAGAAGTCTGAACCTTGGTCTCTGGATCATAACCATAGACCAAATTTCATCTCCTGTGATGACATTTCTTACACAGCTGGAATCTGAAACAGCACCATCATGTAACTCCAATGAAATTTGTTGTTTGTGATTTATGGTTTATGGCACACTTTAAACATACCTTACCCAGCGTTTGCTTACAACTGATTGCACTGAACAAGTTGAAACTTCACACTGTTGCTGAAGCTTGATGCGCTGATTCTCATACTGAAGATCTCTTTCATGGATGGCATGTGGCACTAGCATTTTCTGTAGTTTTTTTTATCATACCTTGTACCTATTGAGTTAATATATTGAGTTAATACATATTGAGTTAACGCATTATATTTGCATTGCAAAATTGCATCTACATTGCAGACTATATGTCTATGACAAGCTAATATCCAGAATATATAAATAGCTCATATAACTAATAATAACCTGAGTAAAAATGGATGAAGGCCCTTAATAGACATGTAGGCATTTTCTTTTCCAAAGAAGACATACATATGATCAACAGATATATGAACATCGCTAGTCATTGGGGAAAAACAACTCAAAATCTCAATGAGATATCATGTCATGAGATACCATGTCCAAACAGGATTACTGTTATCAAAAGAATAAATGACAGGTGTTCATGGATGTGGAGAAAATGGAGCTGTTGTGCATTGTTGGGAAGGTAAATTGGTATAGCCATTATGGAAACAATGTAGGGATTTCTAAAAATATTAAAACTACCATTGTCCTGTGATCAGCAGTCCCACTTCTGGTTGTGTATCCAAATGAAATGCATGCCTAAGTTCGTTGCACCATTATTCACAAGGGTCAAAATGTAGAAATACCCTAAGTCAGTGATGGTGAACCTTTTAGAAACCAACTGCCGAACTGCAAGCCAAAACCCGCTTATCACAATGTACCAACATGCAGTTAACACTGAATGCTGAGGTTTTAGTTTAGAGAAAAACAACTCTACATTAACATCTTTTGTCTTAAAAGAAAAGCAGAGTAATAACATGTTCCATGAGTTTACCACCACTGCCCTAAGTATTAATTAATAAATGAACAAATAAGTTCATGTATGTTTTCTCTTTCAAAATAGATCAGAGAAAAAAGAACTGCTGGTGTTTGAAGAAAGTACTGAATTTTCTTTTTTAATGTTAATATTCTGATAACAGTATATTCCTAATAATTGGTAGATTATATGACTTTCTAGATTAATGGTCAAATTGTCTGTAAATAATAACATTATATCTCACTTTTCAATCTCTAAATCTCCTCACATTGTGTTTATATTGGCTGAGCTTTTAGTATGATATTGAATTTTAATAGTGTTTATGAGCAGCCTTGTATTGTTACTGAATTTAATGCAGTGCTTCTGTGTTTTACTATGCAGATGGTAATTAAAGTAGGTTTCTTTCTGGTAGATATTTTTATCAAGTGAATAAAAATTCTTCATATTTTAATATTGCAAGGGGTTTTATCATGTATGTATGTTCAATTTACCAAATGCATTTCAGTGTCAATAACCTTGTTTATTTCTTTTGCTCTTTTGGAATTATATCAGTGGATTTTATAAGGTTATAAAAATTTTAATTGTATTTAATTTTAAACCATTGTCAGTTTTGACTAGAATGATGTGAGAAAACATTTTAAGGTACATGTTTCCTGTTACAGAAAACTGTCCTCAAAGGAGATGAAGATGACACATTAGTAAACTCCAAAGTTGACCAAAGGTAAAGTATTACTGAAAAAATATTATTTTCTTAAAAGTAATATTAATTGTCATGAAAAGAATTCTGTTAGTATTAGGAATGGATACTTTTGGCCTGCTATAGTTAGACTTAACTGACTTACTGAATTGATAAGTAAAAACAAGTATCATAGTGTCTATTAGACTGGCTCACAGTGGGGGAAGATTTTACCCTTGTACCAGTAGATAATTTGGCAATGTTTGAAAACATTCTTATTTCTTACAACAAGCAAAACCCATAGAGGGTAAGGCTGTTACTGTCATCAAATAGGTAGCAGTCAGAAAGACAAATTAATATCATACCATGTTCAGACCAGACTACCTATTCCCTCATCCACACAAGACAAACAGTTCCTTAGTCAAGAATAGTAGTTACTCCAAGGTTTTAAAAAGCCTTGGTTTAGAGAAAAGGCAGGGTACTGTTTCTTATGAGTAAATAAAACAAACATTTTGATGCATAATTTATTTTATTTGTTACATATTTATTAAACTAGATGGGACCAAGTATGCCTTAGTTTTAACTCTATGCTTTTTCTTTAGCCTTTTAGCACTTACTGCTGAGTATGATAAACATCTGGCAGAGCTGGGTGAACAACTGAAATATTATCAGGTATGAAATTATAATTATGAAATTTTTTGTAATATTCTGTTATGAGAAGAAAAAGTAAAATAGACTTGCATTTTTTTAAAAAACTTTGATGAAGAAGAAAGTATTTTACTGTCATTGATTGTTAATTTTGTTTAGGCTGTGCTTGTGTGCATCATGTGTATGTGTTTAAAGATTATCTTTAGTTTCGTTTTTTAATTCAATATCTCATTATAATTGCTGTCTGGCAAAAGTATCTCCTGGATGCTTAAAAATTTTTCTTCATCACACTTTTATTTGCTTATATATTTTTTCCCTTAAAAACTATCTCACATTCTTTGAAACCTTTCTCCTTGCCTTCATTCTACCTTCATTTTTTATTATTTTCAGAATGGGTTTTGTTTCTTAATTCCAAATATTGTCTCTGTCATTTGTGTTTCCTTTTATGTCTTTGAGATACTTCTAATGCAGGCTTAAAATGTAGCAACTTTTTTTTCAGAAATATTTAGCAATGGGAGTTTATTTTAATAATGAGAATACAGAAACTAAGGAAATTGTCTATACAGACAGTTACGCTGGGTGCCATGACTTCTCGGACTAAGCTCATGGAAAATTAGAATAATGGCACAGAATTGCTCAGGTCACTATATGAGTTTCAGTGACTACATTTTTAGAGTATATCTAATATTAATAATGTGTTTCTTTGAACTGAAAATGTCTTTGATGTTTTCTCCTGAATTTTCTGATTCTGGGATAAAAATACAGTGGAAGCACATAATTTATATACCTCAAGCTTAAGCCCACCAGCTGGCAGTTACTTCTTGTTCTCATGATTGTATTTGGTTGAAACACTAGTCACTGGGTCCATTCTGTTGTGATAAGGGTAGCAGGGTTGACTTAATTAAATGCAAATAGAAGAAAATATAATGACTTTATATAATATAATCCATTGGGACTGATTTTCTGAGAATAATTCTACAGGTGTGAGAGACTCTATGCACTTTCTCTTTCTCTCTCTTTATAGATGGACAGGAAGAAATCTTACGGTATACCTTAAAGAGGAGTACATAATAGGTCTTTCAGTATCTCATGAATAATTAAATACTGGGGCTTATGAAAACAAGATGGTTAGAGCAAGTGTAACAATCTATTCTTCAGTTTATAGATTGATACAGTTTGGAGCTTTATTAAGAGAACATATAATGCTTATATAATGCATATACATCCTAAGAATAAACTTAGGTTATTCTATTGCATTTGGAATAATGTAGACTTTTATTTGAAGGTTATTCTTCTACGATATAAACTTATAGAATAAACCTGTAAATTCAAATTTCAGAAATAAGTACTTTTAAAAATTGTACTCTGTTTTATGATAAGTAATTCTTAAGTTAGTTTATTTCCTAGTCTTTACTGTGTCCTTTTTAGCCTGCGGTCCTTTAAATTTAATACAACCCCAATAATGTCTTTTCATCATTTCAGTTGACAATTAAAGAGAAACTTCTTTTTGAACTATTTATATTTTACTTTTATTTATAGTACTAGTGAGTCTAAAGTATCATTGAATTCACTATCTCTGAATTGCTATTGTGACATTGTATGCTGTGATTGCTATAAAATAGGGAGTTATCTTGAAATTAAACTTTATATAATTTATCTGATTAACCTATTTAATTAACTATTTTATTGAAGTGTTTGACTTTTTCTCCATTTGGCAATCTTACTACCTAAATGTGATTACTAAATTAATTACGAGATGAAGCTGCAGTTTAAAAAGCCCAAAAACAGTCTATGATGATAAGAATAGTTGTTACCTGTTTTAGAGGGACAGATGGAAAAAAATGTTGACAGCTCCTTCTAAGAATAATTGTTCTCACAGGTATTATTAATTAGTAGAATTAATTCTTAAGACTTAAAACTTAAGAACAGAAAATAGAATATCTTCAAAACATACGAAGTACTGCTGCAGTTGTCTGTGTGAAAGATTTTCTGCCAGAAAAAGCATGTTTTATATGATATATATATAATTTAATCTCATATATATTGTGTATAGATATATATGTATACACGCTATGTATATATACATTTTATATATATACACTAATAAAGAGCAAAGTAGAAGAGAGATAAATAGGAAGTAGGTAGATCTCCTCAAGTACTTCCCCAAATTACATATTCCATTGTTTTACAAATATTTCAATATATATGCTAATTTGTTTCATTTATACTAATTATTTATCTTAGTTTGTTAAAAAATGTTTGCATTATTCTGTTTGCTTCTTTTTGGTAGGAATCCTTTTGGCTTATGTCTTGTCCTGAGTAACTACTTTGAAGATAAGAATACACAGTGTAATAACTGTTGTTCTTTCCCTATTATTTAGTTATGAAAATTTGTTTTATTTTTCATAAAATAAAAAAGGAACATTCAAAAATTTTTAAAAATAAAAATTCAAAGGACTTTAAAAAGAAAATGTAAATAGTGAGAAATTTGCTGATGTAAGAAGTACTGTATAAATTTCATTTCATTCCCAATATTAAATATTTTAAACAAATAATCTTAGAGTGACTTTTAATTTTAGCTAATGCATATAGAGCCTATATTATTTTTGAGAGTAATAAATAATATTACAACTTTTAATAAGCAATGATTTTAAAAATTATAAAATAATTTAAATTAGCATGAAATTTAAATGCTGCACTGCCTTTTCCAATTTTATTTCTCACTGCATCCATCGATGTGTGGTCAGTGCTCACTTTGCTGGTTGTAAATTAATTCATTTTGGTTTAATTGTGATTTAGGTGTAGCAGGGACCTGAAAAAAGTTCACTTTTCAAGCCAACTTATACTTAGAATTGGCTGTTAGTGAGTTTCTAGACCAAACTTCTTGGAGCTTCTCTGCTTGCAAGGGAGAGAGAAAGACTTGGAGAACTGCCCATTCCCAGCATCCCAGGCCAAAGCTGACTTCGGGCTTGGCTTCTCTCCTTCAGCCTAAGGTGCACAGTCTAGACTAATGGAGGTATCACACCTTCATTGCACTTTCCATTTAAGTGTGATTTCACATGACCTTCCTGCTTTCCACTTATATGTTTACTTTTTTTTGAGGGCTCGCTACTCATTTTTTGACTGTTTTGCATTTACACATATTTCTACCTACGTGAAATGTGCTTCTTTTACTTTTGAAATCCTAGTAATCCCTTTATTCTGTCAGAGAAAATTAATCAAACTTTCATTTTATTTCCTTTTACAGTATGCATTTTATTCTTCAATGCATCTTAACTAGTAGCTTTTTTTTTTTTTTTATTTTTTTTTTTTTTTTTGGTTTTTCTCCAGTACCGGGAACCGAACTCACGACCTTGCGCTTGCCAGGCAGGCGCTTTTGCCGCTGAGCTAAATCCCCAGCCCCCATTAACTAGTAGCTTTAAAAAATCATCTTTCCTCCTAAGTATGTCAGTGACCATGTGCATTGAAGATAGAAGCCTTGTATAGTGGAAAGTTCAGGTAGTTAATAAGGCTGGTGAATCAGAGACTAAAAGAATGACTACTAAACAAGACCTCTATTTTCTTTTTCACTATTACTGTTTTACCTGTTTAAATACTAGAGAAATATATACACTTATATGGACATCACCTCAACTGTGGTAAATTAATTAAGATATACAGTCAAAATGCAAGAGTCATCTGGTATTTGTTATTGTATTATACTGAGGAATGTCTTACTTTGTTTTCATAGCTATAAATTATGAGTTATATTGTCAATACCTCTCAATATGTTAAAATATTTTTACAGTCTATTTAAAATGTTCTACATATTATCAAACTGTGCATTTTTAGTTTCCTTTTTTTTTGTTGTTGTTTTTTGGTTTTTTTCCGGTACCGGGAATGGAACTCACAACCTCGTGCTTGCCAGGCAGGCACTGTTCCGCTGAGCTAAATCCCCAGCCCCAAACTGTGCATTTTTAATATTGTGTATTGAGAGTAATGCATAACTCTTTCTTACCTATAGACTAATGTTAGTCTGAAGGCTTGCATATGAATGGACTACTTAATGGACATCTAGTAGTCTAGAAAATGTAATTCTCTATTTTACTTTATTCTTTCAGAAACAGATGGGTGAGATGAAACTACAACTTGAAAATGTCATCAAAGAAAATGAAAGGTAGATCAATTAGTTATTTATTTTTTAAATAACTTATTTTTGTTATTTAATAAATATAATATACTGGTTAAGAGTGCAGAATCTGGGGTCTGATTTTCCACTTCTCTCCTGGCTCCATTACTATGAGTATAGAGACATTATTTCTTTCTGCTTTAGTTTCCTCATCTGTAAATTGGAGATGCTAACATAATCTTTTTCATAGGACTAACTATAAAGGGTAAAGTGAGACTTTGGAATACTGTACATAATAAGCACCTTATAAACATTAGCAATCAATCATGTAGTATATATTGTATAAGTATGTTAGGAAGCATACTAATAAAATGGAAATTTGTCAACCTGTCATCCAGCATAAGAGATAATGTTAACTGATACTGATGCATTTATCTGTTTCTTCTACAGTTCCCAATCTCATCCTTCCTTCTGCAAAAAGTAAACACTACCATGGATTTTGTATTTATCATTCCCTTGCTTTTGAATTTTTTATAGATATGTTTATCTCCATAAACATTTTATTGATACATTTATCTCCATAAACATATAACATTTTTATAGATATGTTTATATGCATTTTTAAAATACTATATAAAATTGTATCATCTGGTGTTCTGGGACTTAAGTTTTTCACTGACATCTTCTACAAGTACAAGAGTTTCAAGGGATGAAATCACTGGACATATGTTACATGAATGTTAAGTTTTATAATAAATGTCAAATTTCCAAAGAGGCTGTACCAGTTTACCACATTGGTATTGATTTACCAGTATTGGTCCATAGTTTTTACCAGTGCTACCTCTTAACAAACTTCTTAAATTTTATCATCTTAAGTAATTTTCATTATGGTGTTCATTGAGAGGGTTTTATATTTTTTTAGTACCTATTTGTAGTATATAATGGTCCCATTCCTCTTGGAGAGTTGGTACGTGAACATAACACATCTTAATTCTTTTTTAACCCCCTTCTCTTCCCCTTCCCTACCAGTCCCTCCATCTCTTTATGCACTTCCCACTTGCAAAGTATATATCTCCCTATTTCCTATTATTTTTATTTTGCTCTTCATTTATACTTTGGGGTTCTCATATAAGAGAAGCCATGTGATGTTTAAGTTTGTGTGTCTGATTTAATTCACTTAACATTATTGTCTCAGGTGCATGTATCTTTCCACAAATCACTCACATTTATCCTTTATTGCAGAGTAGTACTCTACTGTGTATAAATAACACATTTTCTTTATCTATTCATCTATTAGTGGACAAGAAACAGTTATTGTGAATTATGCTGCTATAAACATGAGTATGCATTTATCACTGTAATATAATATGATGTCTTTAACTCTTTCAGGAAGATAGCAAGGAAGGGAATAGCTGAGTTGAATAGAATTTCTAGTTTTAGTCTTTTGAGAAATCCCTGTCTTGATTTAATAATGGTTGTGGTGTTTACATGGCCAGCAACAACATAGAAGGGTTCTTTTCCCTATAGCCTCTCTGTCATTTGTTAGACAGTCTTCATTTAATAACTGAGTTCCCTTTCTGTGGTTACGTTGTTAAATGAATTGGTCGCTAAATGAGAAATTGTATATAGTATATACATTACAATATTCAGAATAAAGAAATGGTCAAAGGAAATGCCAACTTGATAACTTTGCTTTTATTTGCATAACTCTTACATGCAGTACTGAAATATATAACAACATAAAACTACAGTACTATACTGTACAGAATCAGCAGAAATTATAGTACTGTACTGCAGAAGAAGCCACTGTAAGGTCATGTCATGTTCCTGTGTTGTAAGTCCAAATGTGGGTTGTAAGTATGTGTAGTAGGTAGTAAGTCCAAACAGTGTGCCCCAATCTTTAGTCCAGTCATTAAATGAGTCGGTAAACGTCTATTGTTTTCTTGGTCTCAATTTTATTAAGTACTCTTCTGATCTCTATCATTTCCTTCTTCATCCTAGCTTTGGATTTGAAATGTTCTTGTGCTTTCTAGGACCTTGAGGTACATTGTTAGATTATTTATTTCCGCTCGCTGTGTTTTTCTTTTTTTGTATCGGGAATCTAACTTAGGACCTTGTGCTTGCCAGGCAAGCACTTATGCCACTGAGCTCTGCCCCCAGCCTCGCTGTGTTTTTCTAATGTGAACATTTACAACCACAAACTTCCCTTTTAGAACTGCTTTTCTTGTGTCCCATAGGTTTGCTGTATTGTACCGGAATTATCAGTTGATTCTAGGAGCTTTTTAATTTTTTTCTTGATTTCTTTTGTGACCCATTGATTATTCAAAAGGCTATTGTTTAACCTCCATGTGTTTGCACAGTTTCTGTGATTTCTTTTGCCATTGACTTCTAGTTTCGTTTCTGTGTCATCTGGTCTGTGCATGGGATAATTTTGTTTCTGTTGCATTTACTCAAGCATGCTTAATGGGCTAGCATGTGGTCTGTTTTGGAGACAGTCTCAAGTGCTGCTGAGTAGGTTGTGCATTCTGTTGTTGGGTGGAACGACAACATTAGTACTTAATATCCACCGAGTACATTTATTCAAAGGTTTGGTCAACTCTGATTTTTCTTTGTTGATTTTTTTGTCTGGTTTATCTGTTTGTGACAGTGATGCAGTGAGGTCCCCCACCATATTTGTGTTGGTATTTGTCTGATTTTATGTCAAATAGTGTTTGTTTCATGAAGTTGGGTGCACTACTGTTTGGTACGTATGTATTTATAAATTATCTCTTCCTGTCAGATTTTTTCCTTAGTCAATATATGGTGACCTTTCTTGCCTTTAGTCAGTTTTGGCTTCAAGTCTATTTTTTCTGAAGTTAGTATACATATTCCTGCTTTTTTCTAGGTTCCAGTTGTGTGGAATATTACTTCCCATCCTTTGACTTTTAATCTGTGTAATTCTTTTTGGATTAAATTTGTTTCATTCAGCATATTGTTGAGCATATTATATTATATTCAGCATATTGTTGAGTTTGTTTCTTGGCCCGTTGTATCAGTCTGTGTGATTTGATGGAGGAATTAAGACCATTCACATTGAGAGTTATTACCAAAAGGTACTGACCATGTTGTATTTTATTATCCTGCATTGCTGATTTCCTTTTTATTTTTGTTTTCCCTTCTGCTTAACTGCTCACCCTGTTTGGTGTATTCATTTTATGAGACTTTTTGGCATATTGGCCTCATTGTCTCTTTCTAGGATATCCTTGAATATTTTTGTAGTGCCAGTTTGGTGGTCATGAATTTCTTGAAGTGCTCGCTGTCACATTATTTCTTCATCAATTTTGCAAGATAGTTTTACACAGTATCATCTCTTTAGAAATTGTTTTCTTTTACAATTTGAAACCCTTCCAAGCTCCCCTGGCCTTTAAGGTTTGTGTTGAGAAATCTGCTGTAATTCTAATAGATTTACTTTTATAAGTAATTTGTTGCTTTTCCTTAATGGCTTATAAGAGCCTGTCCATGTTGGACTTCAGGAATTTTGAGTCCTACAGAGGTTCCTTTTTGATAATGACTATTTGGGGTTCTTTGTAACTCATTCATCTCTATATTTAATTCTTTACATATATTTGGAATTTTCTGCTGTTATTTCTGTAGATTTCTATTATTTTCTGCTATTATTTAAGGTTTCTGCTCTTATTTCTTTTATTATTTTTGTGCTATTATTTCTGTAGAGTTTTTTATTCCATTTTATGTTGTCTCCTGATTTTTACTGATTACAATTCCAGTTAATCTTAGATCAGCCTTCTTTGTGTCATCTAGCTTCTGCTGCATCACTTTTCATGTTCTCTTGTTGCTTTAAGGTATCTTTGAATTATTTTCCACCCTGTCTTAAAGTTCTGACACTCTGTTCTCACACTGATGCTTCTGCTGCTCACAGTTCCTGTATAACTTTTTATCTCCTGGATTTCTTTTTGGAACCTTTTCATGGACTCTCATTTTTTGCTAAATTGGTCATTTGTGTTTTATATCATTTTGTTTAATTCAGTTGGCTTTTTATAGTGTCTTCTATAAACTCCCTAGTATTTTGTTTATTACACCCATCATCTAATTATATCCGCTCTGAACTCACAGAGCACTTTAGTTTTGAAATCTCTTCTGCTATCCTTTGAAATAATTCAGCTGTGTAGCTTTTGCCTTTCTCCCTCTCGGTGCCCCATGAATTGGCTTTGGGGGAGTTGGAGTTTTGGTATGCATTTCATTGCCTTGTCTTCTCATGTTTTTATTTTTGTTTTGTTTTGTGCAAAGACTTGTGGGTTCTTATAGTGGAAAGACTGTGTTTCTAGTATAGACATTTCTTTAGTTAGTGTCTGTTTTCAATGATGCACTCTGGTTGTGGCTAACTATAGTCCTTTGCTTTTGTACATCTCAAGGTCCAACCACCTCTGTTAACTTGAAAGGGTGTTACGGCAGAATTTGGGTTGTATTCCACAAGAGACCGACTCTATTAAGAACAAGACAGAGTTTATTAATTTGAGGCTAACCACCCTCTTCCATTTGCCAATCTGGGAAGTGGGCATGGACCTGCCTCTGTTCCCAGATTATGTACAATTTTGATTTCCATGGTAACAGATTGGAATGTTGTAGCCCTGGCCACATGTTGTTTTTCTTGTGACATGTAACTGGGTCAGGCTCCGATCCTGAGCCCAACCACAATGATACATACTTTCTGTACTCTGTTTTATATGTCCCCCTTTAGATAACCATACATTTATGGTTACAATGTTTATCTAGGGCCAGGGAAAGGATGAAACAACCCAGGCAAGGTAATAGGTAGTTATCTAGGCCCCGATATTCATTGTCTTTGGAGAAGCATTCCAGGACTGTCAGGACTGCAAATTTAACTCTTTACACCACCTCTGGGATGTTTCTCAAGACATATCTTGAGGACATATATTGTTAATTAATTCTAGTCTGCATTAAGACTAGAATTATTCTGTCTTAAAATGATACGCTACCTGGCAAGCGCAAGGTCGTGAGTTCGGTTCCTGGTACCGGAGAAAAACCAAACC